CGGACCTTCACCTCCAAGCAGCGCTGCTTCAGTCCAGCGCTGCGCTCCAGCAGCATGTCGCCAATCCTTGCATACCGCAAATGAGGAAGAGCTCTTCGCTCTTCCTGAAGATATAGAGGCCTACCGGCCTCCTGTGCGGTGACTTCCTAGGCCAAGCGGCCTCCCAGCAACCGGTACCTCCTCCCTTTCGGAGGGAAACATCATTGCAGCCTCTGTTATTGTCCGGACAGGCCCTAGACCCGGGCTACTTGGACTGGTACCAGCCTACCTCTAGCCTACCGCTACTGGGGCTCTAAAAATGCCAACTTTTTGTCTTCTTCTGCTCGGCCTACCTGCTACTTGAGTGTTTTTCCCCAGCTGCTCTAAGTGCCGTGGGCCTACGCCCCGCTACTTGAGTGTTTACCCCCCTGCAACCCTCAAAGTCACGGCCACAGGTAAGTACCGGCCCTGCGGGGCCTTGCAACCAACAAGTACCCTTGCGGGTCACACACACTCAACCGACAGGCACTCAGACAGGCATGCAAACGGGCAGGCACACACACATGCACAACCGGCAAGCACTCAGACAGTCATGCAAACCAGCAGGCACGCACACACACAGACTTGGGACCACAACAGAATGCGGGAATCACAGCAAGGCAATCATTCCAGTGACAAATCCCAGAAATCAGCAGTGTTCTCAGTCTGTGTTTTTGGCGGGTCATTACAATGACATCTGTCGATGTCTCGCTTAAAAGCATTGGTTGGAGCAATAAAAGTGAGCAAAAGTAAACGAAAAGAATAATAAGAAGTCAAAAATACAGAAAGACTTCCAAGCCAAAAAGCCAAATTGCTAGGCGGCCGCTGTAAATAAAGGTACTACGAGCCCTCTGCCCCATTCGAAAAGAGATTCGAATGGTTCACCGGTTCCACCATATGCTCTCGTCTTTTTCATTTTCATTTAAGATTGAGTATGCAGTGCGCTTCAGGTGTGTTAGGTCCATATTGGACTTAGGTTCTCTACATGTGCTGGTAAGTACGTCAGTAATCAACGTAAATACAGAGAAGACATTGCTTCGTGACTTGCCACGTCTGGTCTGGTATCCCACCTACACCTCTCCGTGCACTTCATCATCATCAAAGACTGTGGTACTGGTCTTCTTCTTCATCCTCTAAGAGGCGCTTGGGCTCAGAGACCTGTTTCAGGGTGGTGCTTCGCTTTGAAGGCTGTATTTGGGTGGTGCTGGTTGTTTCAGGGACTCAGGGGTAGTGATAGCAGTTGTTCGGGGTTGGGGGAAGGAGCGCTGCTCATTTCTGAGCAGTGCATCGCAATTCTGGGGTTTTTCTGACAAGTTGAGACTCTGAGTTTAAAAAACAGTGTGGATACTGTGTCTGAACTATCTTTACTTCATTGTTTCTTGGATGTGATCTACTCGGCTTTCCTTTGTGACTGGTTGTGAGGATTCTGTGGAGCGAGTTGCACTTTCAGTGTACTCTGTCATATCGCATGGATAAGTCTTCCGCCGTGTTTATCTCTCCCTGTGCGGTGTGATACTCCCATCCTCTCCACTTTCTTCTGTGTATGTATGGGCATACTTGGAAGTCTATGTGAGCAAGTGTTGGTCTTCTGACAACAAATAACCAGGATCATAACTGTTGATAAGCAGATAACGAGCTCAAATCCTCACAGAATTAGATGGATGGATACAATAACTCCAGAACAAAACGACAAAAACAAGGAAGAACTCCAAAGAAGGGTTCTGGTAAAAGAAGAAGAAGAGGGAAGAAAAGTATGACATTTTGTACGGGTATGGAGGAAGTTCAGAATTGCAAGCTTAAGGTCTTCACCGACAGAGAAACTTGTTCAGCGATGGTGAGGGGAAGAAGAGGAGAAGGCAGCTTCGGGGTTCTCTCGATGGAGCATGTCAGTACGTGGCAGTGGAGTAGAGAAAGGGGGGGTTGTTGGGTTTGGGGTGTGGGGTGTGTGGGGTGTGGGGTGTGGGGTGTGGGGTGTGGGGTGCGGGGTGTGGGTTACCTCTTGGTAACTCGATAGGTAACAGCACGTCGTCAGTGAGCTGCACCGGGGGTGCAGTGACAAGCGTTGAGTTTGAACCCTGGATCCATCACACAGGGGGGATAGGCCGTAACAAATCCACCCTCCTTTGAAAAAGAAGAAGAAGAAAGAAAGGAAGACCTAATAGTTGGGCCTGCTGGTGTGAGGAAAAAAGAAAAAGAGAAAAAAAAGGGCCTGCTGGTGTGGAGCCTCCAACGACCCACAGTTGGGTGGTTGGTAGGCAGAGAATTAACCGAGGGACAGTCAGCTCGTTGATATTATGTAAAGGCTGTCGGCTTTTCTTTTTTTTTCTCAAAGAAAGAAAAGTGGGGTTACTTGGGGGTACTTACCCAAGATTTTGAAGTCCCCAGAACAAACACCTCACATAGATGCTGAAATGGCCATGATCGGCGAAGATGACAGGAAGCGCCTCCCCATATATGCCATACTCCCAGTGCGTTTTCGACTCCGAGACAACGGGATTGGGCCTTGCACTCAGGCCTTGGGGATGCTCAGATTGAAAGCATAGATCCATGATGTTGGAAGAGTTAATCCACCGCTCCCTTCGCAGTAGGAGTTCAGACGTGTAAGGAGTGTAGTCAAAGGTAAATCGCTTTTCTGTCATGCCACCTGGATCAGGGCAGTCAAGAAACCTGAAAATGCATCCTTCCTCAGCTTCCAACTTGCAAGAATGGCGCATACACTTGTCCACTCTCTCCACAGCATATAGGTACCACATTGCTCCTGCAATCTGTTCTCTCACAGCCATCCATCAACAGGGCAGAGATGATTACACAAGAACAATGACAGGAAGGCTCCAGTCATACTTGAGGTACTAAATTGCAAAGTCAGTACTGAACTGCTCTCTCTCTCTCTCTCTCTCTCTCTCTCTCTCTCTCTCTCTCTCTCTCCCCCCCCCCCCCCCCCCCCCCCCCACACACACACACACACACACTCACTCACTCACTCTCATATATAATCAAACATATAATGAGAAGGTAAACAATGGGGTGGCATATAACAAATAAGCAAATAAAAAAAATAAAAAATAAGAAGAATTTTTTTGCCCCCCTGGGTATTGATTTATTTGTAAAGGGGGTGAAGCTCTCAAGGTGTTACATGCCCAGTTAGGCGATGTACATAGAAACCGAGGATCTGCAATGTGATAAAAAGGACTGAATGGACAATGCAGTGCAAGTAGATCTCAACAAGCAATGTGCATTCAGCTACATACAAAATGGTGCTGAACTGGGGTTGTGGATAGTAAACGGCGGATTAGAAAGCTGAGAAAGCTGAGAATAGTACACGGTTGATTGTAAGGGTGGGAAGGGGGGAGCTGGGAAGGGGAGAGCCTGTGTGTCAGATGTCGAAAGATTGGGTGAAAGAGGTAACGAAGATGGTGAGCCTGGGGGAGTAGGTGACAAGTGACGTGGAGGTTGGAGGTGTACAGAGAGCGGAACCTGGAGGGAAGGGATTGCAACTGGGGGGGCAGGTGGTAAATGGGGATGATTTGATAAGGGAGGATGTAATGACCCAAGATAGGGAGGGGNAGAGGGCAAGGGGATCAGCGGGGAAGAGGGGATCTGTAAGGGGGGAAAAATTTTGAGGAGGGAGGTGTAATCCCTTCGAGGATGAGATATAAGGAGGGTAGGATGGGAGATTGGAAATGAGGGGGGAAGAGCGACGAGGAGATATCCGTAGGTGTAGAATACAGGATGGGAAAATGGGAGAGAGGGAAGTGGGAGGGAGGGAGGAAGAGGGGGGCGGGGAGACTAGTTCTGATGAGAGGTGAAGTATGATTTTTTCAGTATAATTTTCGTAATCTTCCTTTTACCTATGTTTCTAATCGGCCTATCATGTCGTTCAACGTCTACAATAACTTAATGTTGTTTGTGTTTTTCTGCGTTGGTTTTATTTTGTAAAAGGTTCAATACTTAGAAATTGGTTAACCTGTTGGAAACGTGATTGATTCTTTTTTTTTTTTTTTTTTTTTTTTTTTTTTTTTGCGCTGACTGAAGGGGGGACCCAAGTAGAAAAGAAAGACGTAAGAGAGAGACCAGTGATGGGCCGAGGCCACTGGGCAGGCACACCTGATATGTCGTTGATTCCTTGTCAGTGTGATGCTCTTCAGACCTACTGCCTCACTTGCCTCACTGATTGATTGACTTGCTCATCGCCCAAGCTCATTGTCTGTTCTCCTGCCGACTCTTCACCTTCCACTTCCCCCTCCGCTGCTGGTGAATCGAGACGAAAAAATAGGGAACACCGCACATCAATCCGGTATCGTTCCTCTGCTCCTCCCTCCCCCTCAGCTACTATTCAGCCCACCTACGTTTTTTGTCGAAATTCACTAGTGAACAAGCCGAAAAAAATGGCGAAATCCACTCACAAATCCGGTATCATTCCCCTGCTTCTCCCCCCCCTCAGCTACTATTCCGTCTTCTTGCCAATTCCACTCGTGGTTGTTGTCTGAGGTCGCCCTACAGCTTCGTCCTATTTTGTCGGTTATGTCTGCCTCATACAATCGTGACTCTGCACCTGTCCTTGATGATTTGTACAATCACAACCCCGTCGTTAGTGTGACTGTAGACTTCTCCCACGGGGTCTTCGACCGTTCATGAAGAAGGGCTACTAGATCAACTCATCATCCACGTCAGCTTGTGGCGAGGACACAACCTTGCTAATCATTTGTAAGCCCTGTCACGAGCTGGTATCCGACCCTCATCCCTCGCTTTGTGTCCTTTGTCGAACTTCGCCTTACGGTTCCGTCCTGTTTTCCTTGAAATAACTGGCCCATGCAACCCACACTTTGACTCTCAAAAAGGTTGACTCCGCTCATCTCCTTGGTGTTGACTGTCGTCCACACCTTTGGTCTTACACAGCACGCTAATTGCTGTGACCATGGAGCTGTCACGCGGGATCTTCGACCATCCGTGGAGAAAAGTCGATAGATCAACACAGTAGCCACGTCAGCCTGTGACGTGGAGTGTGTAAGCACCCTTTCTCCGTCGCGCGGGTGCGTTAGGCGCCGTCCCCCCAGGGTCTGCCTCTAGATTTCTGAGCCATTTTCCAGGCCCTGCGTCCCTCAGGCTGAAAACCTGACATTCAGGTTAAAAGCCTGAAAACCAGGGCCTACAGGCCCCGTGTCTGTTCAGCCCAAAAGCCTGAAAAACAGGGGCCTACAGACCCTGTGTCGTTTCAGACTAAAAATGGCAATAGCCTTTTTAGCCTGAAACGAAGGGCCATTTTCGGTCATTCAACAGAACAACCAGCCCTGAAACTCAGGCACCGAACCAGGGTTTCGGGAACAGGCTATTCTTAGCCTGTTCCCACGACAGCCTCAGCAGAGGCTGCAGCGCCCAGCCCCTGGCACACTTCAGCATTGGCAAGAGCAGCCTCCTCGGCCTGGCTCGCCCTTCAGGCAGTCAGGAGGCAGGCCGAGGTAGTACATAGGGACTTCCCATGCACTTCACGGTCAGGCAGGAGGCAGTAGTCTTCAGGATTCGGCCACAGCACTCTAGAGGGAGCGCTGCAGGAGTAGTAGTAGCGTTAGCCTTAGTCTTCAGCACTGGGCGCAGTAGGTAGCTGTAGTCTCCAGCGCTGGGCGCCATAGCTAGGATAGCACTAGAGAGAGAGAGATCAGGCGGAGGTCAGAGGTACTTACCTGCAGCGCTGTTGCTCCAGCCTCGTCTTCAAGGTACCTGCAGCGCAGCCTGGCTCGTAACAGAGAGAGAGAGAGAGAGAGAGAGAGCTCTTCTTTTTCCTCTTCTCAGTCCACCATCTCTCTCTCACCCTCTCATTATCTGACTTCACTGCATCAACAGACTACGAGAGAAGAGAGAGAGAGCTTGGTGACATTGGATCCAGACTCGACTTTTTGGCTTCAGACATTGCAACGAGGGATTATTTGGGAGTTGTGACAAAGACTTGGTGTTGACGACATTCCCATCTCTCCCCCTCCTCTTTGTCTGATCCCCTCCTCTTCGTCTGTGTATGTCTGGACCTGGCGCTTCCTTCCTGTGTACAGCGCCAGGCTCCTTCACACTTTGTGATGGACACGATGTATGTTTGGTCTGCGTTCAAACATTGATTGGGCTAGTCATTGTCTCTTATACACATCTAGATGTGTATAAGAGACAGCAGGTGTGTTAGGTCCATATTGGACTTAGGTTCTCTACATGTGCTGGTAAGTACGTCAGTAATCAACGTAAATACAGAGAAGAC